CCAAAGGGCGCACGATCCGATGCACTGGACACCGGCCTCAATAGACTGCGATTTTTCCATACCGTCCCGCTGTCTTACCCGTCGGGCTTTAACTAACCGAAGGGTCCAGTTGTAGTTCACCTGCTTTGGCCTGGGCAACCTGGCAGTATTCCACCCACATGCAAATCTTGAAACGTTTTTCTTTTTCTCAAGGGCATTGTACCATGGTGTGCCTGGCAAACTGTCTGGCCTCAACCGTGTGTTAAATACAATCCGTGGGTAAACACTATTAAAAACTGATAATTACTGGTGATGCCCTTTATCCCAGCTCGTAGGCTACATCCCGGCAACTTTTCCTACTTTTTCAATATATATATATAACAGCAATCCTTATAGAAACAGCGCCCAAATAACCATGGACGAAAGAAAAATAGTGGAACAGAAGTAGGGAAAACAAGAACAGTCAACCTGGGGAATGACAAATTTTTCGTTTGTTTACTGTACTCCAATTTAAGTGTATTTTTTTCGTTTCTCTTATTTTTGGGATTGCACAGAGGAAAACATTTATTTTTACTTCCTTTTTTATTTATTGAATATACAAATGTACATTCAACTTTTAGGAAGGGGGCTGCGATCATACAAAGGTTGCCTGGGAGGGGGGGGAATACAGAAATAGGGAAGACGGATGGTTTTGGAACGGCTCGAACCCGGGACTTCCGGGTCACAACTTGGTGACCTCACCACTTGACTACCACGCCACTTACTTCGGTTCCATGGCATCTGAATATTTAGGCCCCCAACCGGGGAGCCTGGAAGATCCAACGGAAGCCAGATTCGAGCATAGTCCCTTTAACCCTCTGCGCCACGTCATAGCCTGACCGCTTCGCTGTTTCTTCCAGCCTGTCTACGAATAGTGCGCGGTGTGGCAGCCGTTGCTTAAGCATTCGTAGGACGTGCCCCAGCCACCTAAGACGATGCTGTGAATTTATTTTGCCCAAAGGAAGACTATGTGTTCGTAGCACAAGTCGCTTGACCTCATCGTTATTCACGCGGTGCTCGCACCATACTCGGGCAATGTTGCGTAGACAACGGTTGTCGAACACGGATAGTTGTTGAACGCGATCTGCTCGAGAGACCAGATTACGCAGCCATAGAGCAACACGACCTGTACCGTTGCGCAATACATACGCCCTTTCAATGAAAGGGTTATATAGCGCTGGTGTCAGAGATGCCACAGATTAGCGAACGCTAATCTAGAGTTGATCACGCGTTGAGAGATCTCCCCGCCCACACTTCCGCCAGCCTTTATGCAACTCCCGAGTTAGATGTGGCAACGAAAGTGCAGCAACGGGTTACTGTCAATCTTGCAACAGGATGAATCTCGACGCCAGCGTTCGTTACGTTATGTGACGCGTTTTGTAGAACATCATCTATAACAAAGTTGAAGAGAAACAGAGAGATAGGGCAATCCTGTCGCACCCCACTGGTGACAGGAAATGAGGATTCAGGATAGACCCTATCCTTCCCCGAAGTCTGGCGACAGAGCGCTGTTAGGAGTAAACGTTTTTCATTGAAAGAATATATTGACACCTTACATCACATTTGTTCAATAAGGGAACCCAAATCGTGCGCTCTTTTGTGCATTGTCTAATATTGACGAACTTACCGTATATTATCCGCGACCAACAAAACCGTAACGCTATTAATGACAACACTCCGCAGTTCTCTTGGCGCCTAGTTTTTTTTACATTAATGTGTGATCCATTCATCATCTAGTTTTACATATATTTATTCCTAAACTTAAATTTCAGTTTTTAGTATTGTAATGAAATCAGATTTCGACTTGTCACGATTCGTTTCCGGAAGAAAATCATTTATAATTAGTCAAAGGCTGTGTGATCATATACTAGATGTGGCCAGTCATGTTCCTTTGTTGTGCCTAATTGACGGCTCCCTACAAGCGTTTATTTTTTCTGACCGAGCAGATTAACCCGAGTGGATCGAGATACAAGACCGATGCATTACCGATAATGCAATTTTTTGAACCCAAAGATCGAACACGAACTCCGGTGCTCATCTGATTGCCGATCAGAGCTCAAATTATAGCCATTCTCACAGGACATTTATCCCAATTAGAGGAGTTGAATTCCTTTCTGTTTTTCACATTGTCACGTTGAGGTTTATCAACGTTTATCGTTATGCGTCTTCTAAACTCGAGTATACTTGTTAATACGGTTAATAAATCTTATACTTCATTATCAATGGGTTTTCTCTAGTGGTAAATAACTTCATGCTTGAATTCAGTGCATCTCTTCGCTTTCCTTGATGAGTGGCTGATACCAGATGTGCACTGAACGAATGGGTTTTCATTGA